TCTTTTTGGCTGTTCTGTGTGTGTGTGTGTGTGTGTGTGTGTGTGTGTGTGCTGGGGATGGAACCCAGGGCCTGTGCATGCGAGGCAAGCTCTCTACCAACTGAGCTGTGTCCCCAGCCCGACTGTTCTTATTTTTTATTTTAATTTTTTAAATCATTTGTTTCATTTTCAATTAATTTTATTTCAGACTATTTTTAGTCTTCGCCTGTTCGGCAGTTCTGTGCCTGAAGGTCCAGAAGGGATCACACCGCCCCCATGCTGAGGCTCAGGTGGGCAGCCCTGCCTCCATGGAGGCCCTGGTGGCCTTGCTGCCTCCACACAGCCCCCAGCTTCCCCTTCCCACGTCCCAATCCTGCAATGTCTCATTCCCCAGAGGAGGAAGGGGGATGAGCCCCGTCGTCTTCCCTGCAGAGCCTGCGAGCCCTGGAGCTGGCGGCAGAAGAGCTGGGGCCTCTCCCACCCTGTGTGGAGGCTGGGGTGGAGGTCTGGAGGGGTGCTGGAGGGCACTGGAGTTCCCAACAAAGCAGAGGAAATTTACAGTGAAGTGGGTGGGGACAGGGAGGGTCTGGGGTGGCAGAGCAGTGCAGACAGGAAATGGGTTCCCTGTCACCTGGGTGGGTGGCCTTGCTGGAAGTCCTCGCCACCCTCACAGACATCCTGGAAGAGTGGCCTCGTGGTGGGCGTGGTGCAGCTCGGTTTCTGGGGTGCACGGAGCAGAGGGGCCTAAGCTCCGTTTCAGGCTTTGCAAGAGTAGAGGGAGGGGACGAGTGGGGACAGAACAGTGAGGGATGTGGGAGTCTCACAGGGCAGGTGTGGAGAGTCACATGTGACAGTGGGACCAGAAAGAGTAGAAATCTTGGGGAGGCACAGGGACTGGGGCCTCAGCTGGCTTTAGGGTCCCTGAGCGTCTGCCCCGTGGGGACAGCCCGTGCGCCTCACCCTTTCCCACCCCGCCCCAGGCCCTCCAGGAAGCACAGCAAGGCCTGGCCCCTGCCCATCTTGCGTCTCCGGTTTCTGACTTGACCAGGAGTGACTTCTCCTGCGCCCTCTCTCCGAGTCCCCTCTGGTTCTCTGTCTTACAGGCCTGGACACTGAGGCGGGAGGGGAGTCGACGGGCGTCCACACCCCGAGGGCTGCGTTGGGGTGTCGGCCTGAGCCGTCCAGCACCAGCTGAAGCCCTCAGTCCCTTTCCAGATGGCGGCCCCTGTTGCCACTGCTGCTGCTCAGGGCTGCAGTGGTTCAGATTTGACACCCTGTGACCTCCATGTCCCTCGCTGGAAGGCAGGTAGTGCCAAGGCCAGTCTCCACGCGGGTGCCCCAGCGCCTGCCACCCCTGAGTTAACCAGGGGCTTAGCCGCTCAAGAAAGGGAAGGTGACCTGAGCCTCGCTCCTCAAGCCAGCTGTCCTGAGTGCTCTGCCTTCCCGTGATGCCCGTCCTGTGACCCTGTTGGTGGCAGGCCTCCAAGTCCTGGCCGGCAGCCTCCTTGTGGGAGGTGACACTGCGGCTTCTCAAGCTGCAGATGGCCAGCCACGTCCCCACAGCTCAGGGATCGGGGCTGTCCAGGCACCACCATGGAGCTGAGGTTCCTGTGGCTTCCACACCAATCACGGCACAGTCCTGAGGTCACCTGGCCCCTGGGTGATGCTGGCCTCAGAGACAGGCCCCTCCGGACACTTCACTCTGCGTGAATTTCCTTCTTCCCCGGCTGCTCCTGCTCAGTTTGTTTGTCCCCTTGAGTGCTGGCCCCAGCCAAGGAGAGAAGGGCAGTGGGAGAGGCAGACGGGCGCCTGGGGCTGTGAGGCCAGGCCCAGGGTCCCCAACCTGGCCGCTGGCCCCGTGGGAAACAACGGATGGTTTCAAACAGGGAAGCAGCACACCTGTCACATGAACGGTTCAGAAGGATCCCCTGGCTCCCCAGGGCAGCACGTGGGTGGTTTAGGGCAAGCTCCGTGCAAAGAAGGGCGGGTGGGAAGCTGAGAAGTTCTCAGCCGAGGGAACGATGTGGGGAAATCTGGGAGAGGTGCCCACAGGGAGCATGGCAGGAAGAGCCAGAGAACCCAGAGGAGAGCGGGTGTCCCAGCATCAAGAGGGGGACAGAGAAGACTGACGTGTGGAAGAGCCAGACCGGAGGGGACTTTTAACCACACGAAAGAGGCTGCGAGAATGACTTGGAGGAGGGACCAGAGGTTGGCATCACTCAGAGAATCCCGGGCAGCTACAGAGAGCATGAGCCTGGGAGACCAGCGCTGGGGGCCACTCAGGACGCTGCTGCTGCCGCCGCTGACCAAGAAAAGCCGAGGGTGGACACCCCGGAGCAGCCAGGTCCTAGGGAAGCGTCGGAGGTGGGCACTTCAGACCTGCAAATTGAAGGGGCACCACGTGGAACAGAAGGGCCAAGGACTTAGGAGAACCTTGGGGCTGGGTGGTGCCCTTTCCTGAAATGGAAAAAAATAAATAAAACGTGGCAGCTGAGGGCAGTTTAGGAGAGGAGTTGACTAACTTCATCTTCAAGCTCCAGAGAGGAAATATTCTAGAATCCACGGGCCATGTATTCTCTACACTCCACTCCGCCGTCCTAGCGGCAAATATGCCACAGACAATCGGGGAGGGAATGCGCGTGACTTTTCCAATGAAACTTTATTTACAGACGCAGAAGGCAGGTGGGATTTGGCCCATGTTGCTGGTCCTTGAGTTAAGACACGTTACATTGAAGGTGTCTCTTCAGGATTCAAGTGGAGAGCCTCCAGCAGCTGTCAGAGAAATGCATCTGAGCCTCAGAGAGGGGTTTAGGCTACAGAAACCGTCCTGGGTGCACCCGCATATTGATGGCTATCCAAGTGTGCAGGAGATCCCGGGAGAGGAGAGAGCAGGAGGCCAAGGGTCAGGCCTTGAGGACAAGGAAGCCTTAAAGGGGCCTGGAGAGAGGTCTTCTAGAGCAGGAGGAAGCACACCTAGAGAGTGGAGCCCCCGGGGGGTCAAGTCAAGCACACATCCGGGTCACAGAGAGCCCCCGTGGTGAGAGGGCCAACGTGCACCAGCTGCACCTAAACAAATGGCTGCTTCCTGGCACGAGGGGTCCAGTGCAGGAGAGGGACAAAATCCAGGTTAACATAGACCCTGGAGGGCTCTGGGCATTGGGGAGGTGCAGATCGCAAGGCTGTGGTCAACTCTAAAAGGACTGTGAAGGAAAATGGAATGAAGGGTGTTTTTGTTTTTTAAGTGAGAGGTCTGTTTAAACACTGGCAGGGAGAGAAAGACCTGTCAGGGCCCCAGGAAAGAGAGGCATGGGTGATGGATGTCTCAACCACTAACTGCCACGTTCCCTGGGCCTTGGATTTACTGCCACATCCTAATCCATACAGTGGAAATAATAATAGGACCCACCGCATCAGGCCGGCGTGAGACAAACGAGCTGACGCGTGTACATTGCTCAGTGCACAGCGATAAACTGCAATAAATATCAGCATCCTTCCCCATGGCTCCCCACAGGAGCAAGTCTGAAGGGGTAGGAACCCCAGCTGAAGGATTCCCAGCTTCTCGGGCAGCCCTGGTGACCTAGGAGCATCATAAACTTTACTTTACCCTGCTCTTCTGTGAAGATCTAAATAATTGTTTGTTTTAAATCAGTGGAAAAGCAGGAAAATGAGATCAGTCTACCCAGGGCTTAGTGGAAGCTCGAGAGGCAGGATTTTTATGAGAGTTCAATCCCCCTGGGTCTCTCCATCATTGAGTGACTGCCCTATGAGTGGCCTAAGGTCTCCCTGACCCACATTTTCCACAGAGGAGAGGAACGAACCCTTTGTAGCCTAATTAATTTTTTAGGGGGTACTATGATTGAACTTAGGGTTGTTTAAACCCTGACCAACATCCTTAATCTCCCACTTTTTAAAAAATTTAAGATAGGTTCTCGCTGAGTTGCTTAGAGCCTTGCTAATTTGCTGAGGCTGGCTTCAAACTTGTAATCCTCCTGCCTCAGCCTCCTGAGCCACTGGGATTACAGGTGTGCATCACTGTGCCTGGCTGCACCCTGAGTTTTTATTGTGAGTTAGAGTGGGAAGGATCTACGGTGGTTTAATAGTATTCCCCACACCACTCCACCATATTCACGTCTCCCCGGGATCTTTAGAATGTGACCCTACTTGGAAATAAGGGTTAACAGAAGTAAGTGAGGATCAAGGAAAGGTCATATTGGATCAGAACAGGTCCTAAATCTGATGAATGTGTGCTCATAAGACCAGGAGAGGGCCCACAGAGAGACACATCCAGTAGAGAAAGCCATGTGAAGACAGAGGTAGAGATTGGAGCAAAGTAGTCAAGGAAAGCCAAGGATTGCCAGGAGCTCTAGGGAGCTAGAGAAAGGAAGGAAGGACTCTTCCCCACAGCCTTGGGAGGGAACACGGCAGACACCTCAGTTTCAGACTTCTGGCCTCCAGAAATGGGAGAGGATGGGTTTATCATATAAGCCACCCAGTTAGAGGTAATTTTGTTACAGCAGCTGGAGAATACTCATACGTTCTATCTCCATGCTTAGTATAGGGCACCAAAGAAGGACATGGCATCCTCTGATTCTGGTGACACTGAGTGGAGCCTCTTCAGCATCAGAATGGCAGGAAGAAGTGTGTGAGCAAAGCCTGGACTGAGGTAGAAACACATCTGAGACAGATTGGGAGGCCCAAGGTGGGAGGCCTGCAGGAGGGTCCATCAAACCAAAGACTTGAGGTCAACTCCAGCGCTGCTGTGACTGGAAACCTACAGATTCACTTGTGAGTCCCAAATACTTTGAAAATGGTACCCATTCATGGCCCAAGAATGTTACTTCTAAGTGTTCCCCTTAAGGAAAAACCCCAAATTCAGACGATTTGTCTCCTCAGGATATTTATCGTTACATCATTTTACAACATCGAAAAAGCTGGAAACAGTCTAAATGCCCAAGGGTGAGGAAATGGTGAGATAAATGACGGTATATCCACGAGATGGATTACTAAGCGGCCAGTATAAATATGTATGAAGAGCATTTAATGTTTACAAAGAGCTTTCAATGAAGTGGGGGATCCGTCTCCACATAATGACCTGTGGCAAAAACACTGGTTCTAAAATGGTAGAATACGATGCCGAGCATGAGAAAAAAGAAATACATAAAAAAGACAAGGAAACATGCCAAAATACTAGATGTCTCCATGGAGGGATCATGGATGCTCAAAACAAACAAACAAACAAAAAGGTCTTTATATTTTCTGTACTTTTAAAATGATTTACTATGTACATCAATCACTTCCATAATCAAGGAAAAAAATTAAAGCGTTTAAAAAGCGGTGTATGTGGTTTCCATTTTATTTTCTCTGATGGATGACGGAACATCAGCGAACCTTGAGTTACACTAACTACTAAGGCCGGTCACGACACACATACACGGACAGAGAGGTCACACGGGCTGTGCCGGGCTGGCTATAGCAAATGTACATCAAGTTGGACAGGTGGAATTGTTAGGCTGGTTCAAATACGCCACCAGAGGATGGGACACGGCTGGGTCACGCGGTCTCTCCCGCCTGTCAGCGTTCTTGATGGAGGTCTGGGTGTTGGGCTGGTGTGGTGACATCCCACTGGCACTCCTGCAGTGGCCCCCGGTGGGTAACGAGCGTCTGGGTCGACGTCTGTTCTGGGTCCCCTTCCGTCTGTCCTGGCCTTGGCCTCGGATCCCCTCTTTCTTCCAAGCACTGGATCAGCTACTGCCCAGACCTGTCCCCACTCAGCTCCGTGCCCCTGGGCCAGACATGGCAAGTAAAAGAAGAGCCAAGAGCACAGTGGACACCCTCCCGATGTGAACTGGGCCCGGACACAGGATGGGAGGAAGCAGGAGATGTGACCACAGCGTGGCACACAAGCTCAAGTCTTTACAGACAGGCCATCGGCCTCCAAGAACGTGACACTGACGGTGCCTGAGAGATGCGTGGGCTACGTGTAGGGCCCTCCAGTGGGGGGCACGGTCCCTGGGAGAGGACAGACGGGGGATGGGACCTGTGCCTATTTGGGGTAGGCCTGACAGCAGAGCTGGGAGGGTGGAGGGGGAGGTGTCCAACACGGTGCTAGACTGTTGAGAAGTCACAACTATACACACCTGGGGACCGATGCCCCTCTCCCAGATGACTTGCACAGTGGGTTAGATACAGCTAAATAGAAGTGGAGATCAACTTTTCTGAGGGAGGACCTTCCTGGTGGTTGGATAATTGGTGAGGCAGACTCCTGGGTTGGGCATGCTCTGGGGAGGGCCATGCGACGGTGAGGGACTCCCTATTGCTACACTCTGTACAGGGCGGCCGGCCCGCCTGCCGCGCCCCATGGCCCCTGGCGGCAGTCACAGGCTTGCCTTCAACCCCTTCCGGAAGCCTTGGAGAGCTCTTAGGCCCCGGTGAAATGGGGGCTACGACGACAAGAGGGTGGGAGGGGGTCCCCGTGGCTCCGGGGCACCCCGTGTGGGGGCTACATGATGTTGCACTGGGTGGCCCCGCAGCAATCCTTGATGAGTGCCAGCCCAGTCTTGGCCACTGTGGGCTTGCTAGGTGGGGGCTCTGCTTTCTTCTCTGCCCGGGAGCCTGTAGCAAAGTAGAAGCACAGAGGGAGAGAGGGAGAGAGGGAGAGGTGAGACAAGGAGAGCCCTGAGCACCGGCAGCCCCAGCCCACCCCAAGCCCAGGCCAGGCCTTGCTCAGGTGATATGGAGAGCTGCTGTGCATTATATATGTCCAGTGACTGGTCCCACTTCCCTCTGGGCCCGCTGGCTTCCAGCTCTCAGCTTCCAACCACAGCCCTCTCCTAGCCACCATTGTAAATGCCAAGCCTCACACATGACCTGGCATTCGATCTGAGGGGGTCACATCTTTCAAATATGGAAAATGATCCTATATTTTCAGATACCCACCCCCACGTTAGCTGTTTCCTCTCCTCCTGGATTGCCTACTAGATAGAATCGGACCTTCTCATTCTATCCTCTCTGATTCATGGCCTCTCGTATTTTACAACTTTTTCTGTTTATGTTGGGTAATTTCCTCAGGTCTGCTTTCCAGTTTATGAGCTGTACCTTCAACTGTGTCTCTTTAGTCCATTGAGTTTTTACTTTAGTGACAATTTTTTAAAAGGGCGATTTTTTTGTAAATCAATCAATTCTTTTTTCATAGCATCCTGCTTTTGAGCTTTCGTTTCATTCCTTATCTCTAATTATTTAAATGTATGTATTGTCTCTTTAAAATAGTTGTTAGGTATGGTTCTTGGGAGAGCATTCTCTTCGTTGCACCCACTGATTTTCCTCACAGTGGTACAGTTTTATTTTATTTTATTTTGGGTGTGTGTATTTGTGTGTGTGTATTTGTGTGTGTGTGTGTGTGTGTGTGTGTGTGTGTGTGTTTTGTACTGGAGATTGATCCCAGAGCAGTTAGCCATTGACTCATATCTCACCTTTCTTTATTTTTCATTTTGAGATCAGGTCTTTCTAAGTTACGTAGGGCCTCACTAAATTGCTGAGGCTGGCTTTGAACTTGTGATCCTCCAGCCTCAGCCTCCCAAACCACGGGGATTACAGGTGTGCACCACCACGCTTCATGGTGGTACAGTTCTTGTTGTGTTTTGATATTTACTGAGCGCTCCTCTTGGTGGGAGTCGTTTTTCTCCAGGGTAGTGCTGTGTATCAGGGGATGCAGAAGACTCACTGATCAGTTCTGCATTTGCTCTTGCTAGGGCCCCAGAGATTTCACTGGTTTTCAATTTGCTTTTATCTTTCCATCTGGGATTTAAGCACCAGGATGAGTATTGTGGGCTCACACTTCACCTCTTGCTTATGGTATGGGCTGGGTGTTTCGATTTCTGAGATCATTTCTTTCTTCTATCCCTAACCTCACACAGAAGGAAGGTTTTCTTGCTCCTTCTCCAAATTGTTGAGTGGAGTTTTTCTATTTTGCCTTTTTTTTTTTAGAAGAGCCTGTCCCTCGAGGATGCCGGCTTCAGGCAGGGATCGTGTGCCTTGTGGTCTTAGGAATCAAAAGAAGGCAAGACAGACTCCCTCCCTTCCCCTGCCTTTTTTTCTTATGGTGCTTGGAATTGAACCCACGAAGCTCTTTTCATTTTTATTTTATTTTATTTTTTGAGACGGGGTCTTGCTAAGTCACCCAGGCTGGCCTCCAACTTGTGATCCTCCTGCCTCAGCTTCCCAAGTAGCTGAGATTATAGGTGTGAGCCACCACACAACCAGGAGGTAACAGAGGTTCTCCCAGGAGGTAACAGATGGCAAAGTAAACTGGGTTTGTGTCTGTAAACACGGTGCAGCTTCTGGTTTTTTGTATCCCCAACAAGATTCCCAGCCCTGACCCTGGTAACAGCTCCAGTCTCTGTGGCTGCTGGAGGGGGAGGGCACGTGACACAGACCTGGCCAATCAGGGTACCCCAACCTCTCCATAACAGTCCCCGGTCTCAGAGATGGGAACCGGATCGAAGGGAGACCAGAGTCTTCCCCTGAGATTTGTGTATTAAAATACCAGGAGAACAGACCTGGCATTGCCTCGGAGCTGCCAAGCCATGGTTCTGGGATTCTGATCCATGGAGAAGGGGTGTGTGATAGGGGGACATGAAGTTAGCATGCCAAGAAGGGCAGAGATGAGAGATGGAAGGAGAGTGGGGGAACGCTGATCATGTCCTGTCTCTGACACCCTGTTTCTTGTCCCCCTTCCTCCAACAAATCCTCTTTTTTTTGCTTAGACCAGATGGAGCTGAGCATCGTTTCTTATAACTGAAGGAGGCCCTTGAATTCAGCAGTGGGACAAAGAAAGAGAAGACAGCTCCTTGACAGGAGGAGCCAGCATCACTTTAATTTCCTGGTGGACACTGGTTCCCCCAAATCAAGGGTCCACCTTGCGGCATTTCCCAGACTTTTTTTTAACCTTTCTGCTCTAGGTCTTTCGTTAAGGCTCGATTTCTGAGAAGTGCTTCTGGGGCCCTCCAGAGATCCCAGCCAGAGTTCCCGGGGCCTCACCAAACCATGTGACCAGGGAAGGACCACTGCTGTGGTGGAACGTGGGCCTGGGGAACTGGATTGCAGTTCCCTCTGGTCCCAGATCTCTCTGAAATATCCTTCCCTCTCTCTGGTGGGGGAACAGGAGGAAGGGTGAAGGCACTCACTGGCTGGAGATTTGGCTACTTTGTCTAGAGGTTTTAACTTGATTCTCAGGAAATCGGCCATTTCCTTGTCTTCTTCTTGCTCCCTGGGAAGGCAGATGTGCAAAAGAGAGAGTAGAGTGAGCGAGGAAACGTCTAGGCGCCAAGGGAAGGGGGCGCGAGGTGCTAAACGCGTGGGACCTGGGGTAGGGCTTTGCGGAGGGTACCCACGTGTTGTGTGTGCTCTGTGTGGGGCGCGTGGGGATCGTGCGCGTTGAACTGCTCTGAACCAGAGACGTGTGGACAGTGGGTGAATACGGATGCAGAGCTAGGGTGAGAGCCCAGAGCAGAGATGGACATGACAGGACCCAGCTCTCCGGCTGGGGGTTCAGTGAGCTGGGCAACATCTCTCCTGACCCTGTACCTTCAAGCCACCCCTGTCACCTGTGCTCCCACAGATGTGTGGCCGGTCTTAGAAAGTCACCTCAGCTCATCAAGGTCACCAGGAATAAAGTTGATAGTCCCGGCCCAGCTGAGCAAGGCAAGGCCTATCCAGGGGCCTTGGAGAGGGACCTCAGGGGACACAGAATTAAGAGTTACCCTCCCCAAAGAGAGAGACTTCAAAGGCTTTGTTTGGAGACAAAAATTATTAAGAATCGACATTCTGAGCGTTTTCTATGCCCAGACTCCTCAGGAACCTTCCAGAACCCTGGGCCTGTGGTCATCCGGGTCAAACTGGCCAGTAGGAATGGGTATAAAAGGGCCTTGGAGCCACTGAGGAGAAGGGAAAGGAAGGAAGGAATTGGGGACACTGGGGGGGGGGCAGGGGACGGAAACAAGGCGATATAGGGACAGAGTTTCTGTGGATACTGACGAGAGAAGTTTCTAGAAGCTGCCTTGATGAGTTGGGAAATTGTGTAGGGAGCTCTGCCATTTGTTATGTGAAGCCATCTCCCCGCCCCAGGGCACCTCCCTAAATGACGTTCACTGAAGACACACAGGACTTTGCAAGACGTTGGGGGACTGGCTTGGAGTTCTATTGAGTGGGAAGCAGGTCCTCAGGCCCGAAGGCTGGGATTCATTTGGGGTCAGTGACTGGGGAGCCTGGTGGTGGCCGTGTGTGTGTGCTGGGCAAGGCAGGGCCTCTCGGGAGCAGAGCGTGGGTTTCGTGGGGAAGGAGGAGGCTGGGGTCCGGTGGCCGCAGGCTTGAGGATGTGTCCCCACGCACCTTAGCCGCTCCACCTCCGCGTCGTCCACGAGGAAGTCTCTCTTCTGCACGAGTCTGTGGATCTTCTGGATGAGCTCGTCCTCCCTCTGCTTCTGCAGCTTGGTTTTTTCTTCTTCTGGGAAGAACAAAGCATCAGTCAAGAAACAGTCGAGGACAACCCCTGGAAGCCCTTGAGTCCCAGGGGCTGGGTCAGGGTCCTGGCTCTGCCCGTTCCCTCGCTGTGTGAACCTCAAGAAGCCACGTGGCCTCTTCAAGTCTCGGTTTCCTCATCTGTAAAATACACACAGAATCAGGCTCAAAAAGGCAGCAGACATCAGTGTGTGACTCCGCCCGGCCTCGGAGTGCACTCAGAAAATGGTGGTGACCCCGCAAGGGGGATCTGTAGAAGACAGAGGGGGACCAAGCGCTGGCCGGGGTTTGGGTGCGGGGGCTGTTCAGGAGGGACCTGCTGTGTGGTGTGGGTGAACCAGTTTCTCAGGGGAAAAAAAAAGAAAAAACGATTGTCCACGCTGATGACATTAGCCTGTCCCAAATACCCAGGGCCAAGAGGACAAGGAAAGACGGGCTGAAGGTCAAAACAGAAGGAGCCCAGGGGCAAAAATCCTAAACCCACTTCCAGCTCTTTCGGCTCAAATCCGTACAGAATGAAAAAAAAAAAAAATGCAGGCAGCTTGTCCATCTGCCCACTTAGGGGCGCTGACGGCCTCCAGATCTGGACGCAGAACTGGAGGTGAGAAGAGAGTCGTCCTTCGGAATCTATGCGGGTTTGTTTCAGTCACCCCCCTGCACACCCTCCCGTAGACTTTAAGCCATCTCTAGGTCACTTATAATACCCGATCCAATGTCGGTGCTGTGGAAATAGTTTTGTTACACCCTATTGTTTAGGAAATAACACCAAGAAAGAAGGTCTGCACAATGTTCAGTACAGAGACAATGTTGTCCCCCCCCCCAATTTTAAAAATCTAGGGTTGGTTGAATCCATGGATCTGGAACCCACAGATCCATACGTCTGAATGGTGGGTTTGTCTCATTCACCAAAAGGCCACCAGCTCATGAGGAAGCGCAGTGGAATTGTGAGCAGTCCCCAGTTCCCGATGACCAGGACGTCGCTCTGACCAAGGTGGGGCTTATGAGTCTGATTCCCTAAATCACTTCTCAGCACCACAATGTCCTCCCCGCTACCTCTAAGCCAGGGCCAGTGGCTTCCCTCTCCCAGAAGTCACAGCATCTAAAAATGTCTCCAGACCTTGCCAAACATCCCTGGGGGAGCAACCCCCCGCCCCCGCCAGTTGAGAACCACTTCCAACAACCCTGTGAAGGTGACACTGTTTTCACGTCCACGGCCACACCTCAGTATGCCCCGCTCTCAGGACGCAGGGGTGGCAGTGGACGGAGGTGGTGTGAGATTTTGGACTTGGGCTGTTGTCCAATCAGAGTTCCCCGACGATCAACACACTGGCAAATTATTTTCTGACCTTGGCTCAAAAAAAAAAAAAAGCATGATTTTATTGGCTGTTTACTCTCCACTGAATACTTTATGGTCACTGTGTTGCTAGGAACATTCATTTTTTCTCCTCCTAAATGCAGCTACATCCATCTAGCAGCCTGTCAGTGGCCCAGGGAAGACAGAGAAAGTCACCCAGCAAGAAGGATGGAGGGGAAGTAGTGGGGGGAAGGAGGCTTGGGAAGGCAGGAGAGGAGGAGGCTCTGGATTTCTGCACAGAAGTCACAGGAAGAAGCAGTTTGCAGGGGAATCAGTGGGGGCTGGGGTAGAGCCCAGGGCTCTGTGGCTCTTGAGCCCTGGATCTGGTTTGAGTTGTGTTCTCAGCGGGGACATGGGTGGCATGTCACTCCAGCAGGATGCGTTTCCCAGGGGGCCTGTGGTGTCCAGGTCCCCGGCTGCAGCCTCCCTGGCCCCTGCCCGTGGGATGTCACCGCCGATCCTGCCCTTTACACTTTGGATATTTGGCTCATCCTGAATTTTTCTTGGCATGCATTTAAAATATTTATCCTGCCTGCGGAGTTCGGGGAGCGCCTTTGAGGTATCTTGTTCTCCTGGCCCTCCGTCTGGCCCTGGTTGCCAACTGCCCTGGTCACTGTCAAACCAAAAAGTGTCAATTTCCATGCCTGCTCTGGAGGCCGCCACAGCCCCCCTGGTAGTCTTGGTGGACTCCGTGGTCACACACTCATGCCTCCTTGGCCTTGGTGGGATCCCATGTGTCCTGCGGAGCTAACAATGGGCCCTGGGAGGACATGGTCACCCAAATGCATCTCCAGGGAGATGGAAATTGGAACCCAGAAGCCCCGAGAGTCGGGCGGTGACATAGGGAGGTCAGGAAAGGGAGGTGGAGGGGCCTTGCATGGCTCGGGTGCTACGGGGGGGGGGGATTGAATTTTGTACCCAAAATGGGAGTTGGTGGCCAAGAACGTTCTACTGGCTTCCAGGTTTCAGGCCCTTGTGAGGCTGGAGTGAGCAGAATATGCCCCCAGCCCCGTGGATAAGTTCATGTCAACTCTAATGGGAAATAGGTCCTCTCAATATTCCTGTCCACCCTGTGCAGAAATAGCCCATTTCCAAAGTAATTTGAAAAATCACGTGGCAGATGGGATTAGTGAAGCTAAAATTAAGTTACGCTCATTACAGCGGACTCTCTGTCCTCCAGTGACCGGGGTCCTCGGAAGAGCAGACGTCAGAGGCAGGCTGGGGTGATACCGCTGTCAGCCAAGGACTGACCGGGACCTTCCGTTGGTGGAAGAGACGGAGACTCTCCTCTAAGCCTCTGGAGAGAGCACGGCCTGTCGGTATGTGGACGTCTTGTTGTAAGTCACCAGAGCAGTGGGGATTTGTTCTGGGGACCACACCAAATAAATACACCTTTCCACCATATTCCCCCTGGAAGAGCTAGAAGATGGAGCCAGCCTGGTGGCTCTCACCCCTGGCTGCTCATCACCATCATGTGGAAGGTATCCCCACGACCCCCTAGTCCTTGGGGTGGAACCCAGGGGTGCTCTGCCACTGAGCCACATCCCCAGCCCTTTGCATTTTATTTCCAGACGGGGTCTCACCGGGTTACTCAGGCTGGCTTAGAAACTTGTGACCCTCCTGCCTCAGCCTCCCCAGCCACCAGGATTACTGGCATGTGCCCCCTTGCCTGACTGGAAAGCTTTCCGAAATGACCAGGTCCCGCACCTGACCAAATGAATCAGAATTTCTAGTGGTGACTGGACTATAGTATTTTTTTTCCCCATTTATTTATGGTTTAATTTTTTTAATGCTTAACTGGTTTTGGTGATTTTTATTGAGATATAATTCACACACCATGGAGCTGGCCCCTTTCAATTAGGACAGTGGGCTCAGTGGTTTATCCCCAGAGCCTCACACATGCTAGGCACGCGCTCTACCCCTGAGCCACAACCTCAGCCCATAACCACGATCTTCTACTTGTTCCCAAGCAGAATAAGGATGATAGTAATTGCTAATATTTATTGGACGGTTTGGGCCACATATCAAGCTAAGCGTTAGGTCTGCAATGTACCTTTGTCACGGTGACATTTACAGTTAGTGAATCGGGTACTATTACTGTTGTTATGTTCTATTTTCAGAGAGACACTGAGTCTCAGAGAGGTGACTTTCCCAGGGTCCAAACGTGGCCAGGCCTGGCCCGGCTTGAACTTGTTCTTGGACCCCGTGTTCAGGGTGCAAGAGTGAAGCCAGGCTCGGAGGAGAGATGAACCCTGGGGTGCAGATGGAGCCGGCCGGGGGCCCCCAAGCAGCTGCTAGCAGGGAGTGAGCCCGCACATGGTTACCTGGGATGGCGACCAAGTTCTGCAGCTCCTGCTTGAGGTCCATGATGTCCTTGCAGAGCTGAATGTCATCCATCCTGGGGAAACAAGGCCACATCAACAGAACACGCCCCCAGCATCCCCCGCTTGAGCAAAGAGGGGCTGTGGGAGGGGGTCCTCCCGCACAGCCCGTGGGTGCTTGGTGGTCACTTTGGGTGTCGACCTGACTGGATTGAGGGATGCCTCAGGGGCTGGTGAAGCACAGTTTCTGGAAGAGTCCAGGAGGGCTCTCCAGAGGAGCCTGGCCTGTCCGTCCCGGACTGTGTGGGAGGAACCGGCCTCAGTGTGGCTGGGAGCCCGGATGCAGAAGGACAAGGAGAAGGTTCTGGGGGGGGTGTTCTCCCTGTATTTCTGTCGCCCTCCCTCGCTCCTTCCCAGCCCCCCTCTTGGAGCAGGGCGCCCTTCTCCTCTTGCCCTCGGACCTCAGTCTCCACCTTTAGATTCTGGGACTTGTACTAACGTCCCCCGGGAGCGTGGGCTGGCTGCAGCTTCAGCTCCCCTGGTTTGGAGGCTTCAGGCCTGCACTGAGCCACACCACCAGGGTCTCTGGTTCCCCAGCTGGCCCACAGCCCACAGGGGACTCCTCAGCCTCTGCCGTCCTGTGAGTCAACTCCCCCAACAAGTCCTCTGTCCTGTGTCCTCTCGGTTCTGTCTCTCTGGAGAACCCAGATTGATACACACGGCCACGGTACAAGTTGGCCCTCAAGAGGAGCCTTCCAAACACTGCCCCTTCATTATCCCACTGCTCAGCAACGGTCCGTCCCTGTGAATGGCACCGGGATCTGTGCTTCTGGTCTCCTTGTGCCTGTTGTGCTGTTGGGCAGGAGCTCCTCTGTTGCAGGCTCAGGTTGTTTTATAGTTTTATTTTTTTCTGTCGGTTTACGTTAAGCAATCCTAAGCAGGCCAGGTGTGGTGGTACAGGCCTGTAATCCCAGCAACTCAGGAGGCTGAGGCAGGAGGATCACAAGTTCAAGGCCAGTGAGAGCAATTTAGTGAGGTCCTAAGCAATTTAGCAAGACCTTATCTCAAAATAATAATAATAATAGTAATAGTAATAATAATAATAATAAAGGGCTGGGGGTGTAGCTCAGTGATAAAGGGCCTCTAGATTCAATCCTCATATCAAAGGGGGGGAGGAAACCTTAGCATTACAAAAATTCACAGCACAGAGAAAATCTCGCTAATCCTTTAGCAAAAGTATTGCTAACAGTTTGATCTATATCTCTTGTGATTTTTTTTCTTTTTTTTGGAAGGGTGGGGGGAACCGTGGATTGAACTCAGGGGCACTTGACCACTGAGCCACATCCCCAGCCCTATTTTGTATTTTATTTAGAGACAGGGTATCACTGAGTTGCTTAGTGCCTCGATTTTGCTGAGGCTGGCTTTGAACTCGCGATCCTCCTGCCTCAGCCTCCCAAACTGCTGGGATTACAGGCACGCGCCGCTGCACCTAGCTCTCCTAATTTTTAAAATGCTTATGCTACCATATGTGACGTCAAAAATATTTTGGCAATCTGCTTTATTGGCTTTTTCTTTTTTTTTTTTTTACTTAATAATATATCTTGGGCATTTTTCCCTGTCAGTTCATGCAAATATATTCATTTTTAATGAATGCACTATATTCTATTATGTTGATATACAGTGATTTATTTAACTAGTTTTGTATGCATAGACTTCTGGGTATTTATCTGATACATCTCAATGATAAACTCTCAGAAATGCAATTGCTTAGTCAAGTGACATGAACACTTATATTTTAATAGAATATTCCAAATTGCCCCCCAGGGACATTGTACATATTCCCACCGAAGGTGTGTTGGGGGGGGTGCTCACTCCTATAATCTCAGTAATTGGACTACAGACACAGTTTTTCCTTATGCATGATAGTTTGTTGTGAATGCTATAAAAGTCAGCTTGTCTTACTATAAGTAATATTGTAATGGCTGCCTGGAACTTCACCATGTCGATTCACAAGGGCTGTGTTCACTACATCCGTATCTGATTACAGAGGTGGGTTTTCAGGTGGCTTGTGCTATTTCAGGATAAATGTTAGTTGGTGTGAAGATTTTTCTTCTCATTGGCTTATTTGGGGAGGGGATGCTTAGCGTCTCAGAAGTAGAACCATTAGGTACAAATGGCTTGATTAGGTCTGTGGCCATTGAGACCTATTTTCTAACCGCTTCCCTAAGGGTGTACATGTGGACATCCTCTCTGCACATCTTTATTGAGCATCTTCTGACACTGTCCTGGGCTTGGGGATACATCAGCAAGCAAGACCGAGACCCTCATAAAGCTGCCCCTCTGGCAGCTGAGATAGGAGGCACACCCAGATAGTTAATCCCTCAGTCTCCATGGGGGATTCCCTGTAGGACCCCCGAAATCCCAGGATGCTCAAATCCTGTACATAAAACGGCTTAGTATTTGTCTAGACCCTTCACACATTCTCCTCTAGACGTTAAATCATCTCTTGATTACTTTTAATACCTAATGCAACAAATGCTTTGCACCCAGTTAGAGGTGGACACAATGTCTTTGACTTTATGTGGTGCTGAGGATGGAACCCAGGGCCTCACGCATGCTAGGCGAGTGCTCTACCACGGAGCCACAGCCCCGGCCCGAGAGGGATTGTTAAGACTGTTATTTTAGTGATGTGGAAACAGGTCAAGAGTCTCAGCTGGTCCCTCCTGCTAGTGGGAACTGGGCCAGGACTAGAGATGGACTTCAGAGTCTGAGTTGGCCTGTCAGTCGCATCCTGCAGCATCTTCAAAAGAGCTCCACCTGCTGGCTCCTTTCCATAGCGCAGTCCACTGCCAGCATCCAGGGCCCTGCCCTTTGAGGGTCAGGAAGTGCCCATGGTCTTCCAATCCATCTTTCAGGACCAGAGCCAGAGTGTCCTGCTGCAGCTCACATCTCGGCTGCCAGCGGCACCCGAGACATTTTTCCAGCCCCGCCCCAGAATGTCTCGCAGGTGGCAGGTGCCCCAGGTGAGCGAGCTCCGGCTTGCCAGAGGCACGGGCTGTTCCTGCTGGTGATCAGTCACCTGGAGAGGTTCCGAATCCTTCTCCACACCCACACAGGGATCAGGCCACCTGGGTGGTTCTCAGCGAGGGCGATTTTGGTCCCCGAGGACAAATGTCATGTCTGAAGACTTTTTTTGGTTATTCCAACTGGGTGTGTGCGTGGGTGGGGGGCTGTTCCTGGCATCCAGTGGGAAGAGTCCAAAGATGGCGCTAAACATCCTACAGTGCCCAGGACAACCCCTGGTCGACAGTGATCCCTTAAATATGTCAATCATGCTGAACTTGAGAACTCCTGGGTTACAACCAGAATCGACAGAGATAGCTTTATCAAAAATTCTTGAAACATGAGAGAGGAGAAGATAGAGAGAGAGAGAGAGAGAGAGAGAGAGAGAGAGAGAGAGAGAGAGAATCTCCAACAACCAAATGAGTTCAGGGAGGAAAGGAGTGTGACTTACGAGCTGTCCATTCTTCTTTATGGCCTTTCATGCTGGGACAATGGTGGAAAATTGGCCATTTGACCAGCTTTGGAGAGGTGGTAGGCCCTGTCGGGATAATAGTGCTGCTGATTTACAAAATTTCTTTGAAAGTGACCTGGTCTGCAGCTGGAGTCAGTTGTAGTCTAATGGAAGCCCCCAGGGACGGCGATGGGAAGGCCAAAGCAGACTGTCAGAGGAAAGGGCTGACTTTTTAAAATAGTACTATTTGGCTCCTTTTCTGCAAGTCGCAGAGGCTGCAGACCTCTCTGGAGGGTAAGAAGCAGAGGAAGGAACGTTGACCTTGGAGGTGGTTATGTTAGGAGGTGAGGTGTCCCCCAGAGCTCCTGTGTGAGACAATGCAAGGAGGTTCAGGGCTGAAATGACGGGGATGGGAGCCTTGACCTAATCCGTGGATCAGTCCCCTGATAGGGATTAACTGGGTGGTGGCTCTGGGCAGGGGGGTGTGTGGCTGGAGGAGGTGGGTCCCTGGAGCTGTGCCTGGGGGTATGTGTTTTGTCCGTGTGGAGCAGTGCTCTCTGCTTCCTGAGGGTCCCGTCCTGAGCCTTTCCAACTCCACTCCTCCGCCATGATGTTCCGCCTCACCCAGAGCCCAAAGAATGGAGTCAGCCATCTGTGGACTAAGACCTCTGAAAACATGAGCCCCCAAGTCAACTTTCCCTCCTCTGATTGTTCTTGTCAGGTCTTTTGGTCACAGCAGGAGAGAGAAAAAAAATAAGATGGATCACTGATGTGGGATTTGGAGCCCAGGTCCAAGTCCAAACGCCCCGTGATTCTGGGAAAGTCTCTGGACCTCTGTTTCGGTGACCCCTAGAGCCCTGTTCTCCCAGTAGAGAGAGGACTTGCTCTGCATCCACCCGGATCCCAGGACAGGTCTCAGTTCTACCCTTGGCCGTGAACGATCTCAGCGTCAGAGCCGTCGCAGGTGAAAAGGAAAACGCCTTCACCTGGGGTCCTGTGAGCCTCGACCAGGATTGGCCCACGTGGAGCAGGGGTGTAGGGAAGGCCACTTCCATCCACCCCTCTGCCCTGGGTGGGAGGGAGCAGCTGGGCTGAGTCACTCCTGCCGCCCAGTGGCAGGGGACGTGGCTCACCCTCACGGGGGGCCAGATCATGAACGTGCTCCTTGGCTCCGCTGGGTTCCTGAGCTGAAGTGCCGTTCCCGGGGCAGCCTAAGTGTTGACAAGTCCCCAGGGAGCCCCGGAGCTGGGCTCTCTCTCAACATCACACCGGAGACCCAGGGACCAGAGAGGTGGCTGCAGGTGGGCTCAGGTGACACACCTAAGAAGGAAAAGCCCTGGGGATGCGTTTTTGAAGGCCATGCTCTTGGTCGCCTCTCAGTGGCTCATTGAACGACCAGCGTGTCAACCTCCATCCACAGGGTCCCTCGGTTGTAATCAGACCCTCGTTCTGGGATGTGAAGCTCAGTCCCCAAAAGTGTGTCACCTCCCTCCCGCACAGGGTACTCTTCTCCTCCAAGAGTGTTCTAGACTGTCTGAGTTTTTCGATCCTTTTTCTTTCAGTAGTGCTGACGGTGGGACCCTGGGCCCTGTGCCTGCCAGGCAAGTGGCAGCTCGGCGGAGGGCTGGCCATCCAAGGAGGACTGAGTCCCTCCGCTTCCAGCCTCTGTGCATCCTATTTTGTGGAACGAAACGCCGTGCCCTTCCAGGATCAATAGTAAAGCCACTGAGAGCTTTGAACCAAATGGCAATGCTGTCCTTTCGCTGTTGAACAGTCATGTCCACTCATCTGTGGGTGACGTGGCTGTTGTCACACGACCATGGCAGAATTGAGTCACCGTGACAGGGACTCAACGGCCTCCCAGGCCTGAGATACTGACAAGTGGCCCCGTATCGAAAAATGCTTCTGGCCCCTGACCTTCAGAAAGAGCTATGGCGAATACTGAGGGCCAAATTGCAAAGCTGAAGAAATAAATCACCTTCACCTCCCAGGAGTGAAGAACCCTGTGTCCAGAGAACGGACGACTGTCCATGGATCCACAGACTCTTCCAGAAAACAGCTCTTGAGGGCCCACTGAGGGCCAGGCTTCCGGACTCAATTTTCACTTCCTGGAGACACTGAGAATCAGGCCAGCGACCAAGACCCCGTGGAGTGGCAGCAGGGCTCTCACACACCCCACGGTCCTGATCTAGGGCCCAGGGACCATTTCCTTCTCCAGGTAGCAGCAGGGAATTGGGCCGTGTCCGGCGCACATAAGGTTGGCCAACAGACCTCCTCCAGTGCCCGCCAATGCGATCCAGAGGGTTCTGCCACACATCTGATCTTCTACCCGCCCTTCACTCCACTGAATTGTGGAGGAGATACTGAGTTTGGGTAACTTCTTTCTTTTTTTTTTTAATTTTCTACTCCCCCCTCCCCCACTCAGACTCCTCCCAAGTCCTGCCTAGGCTGAGACACTGAAGTGCTCCCCTTCAAACCACAGAGAGAATAGACTGGCCCCGATGTCCCCAACCCCAGCCCTAAGGCCGTTGGCTTAGCTGGTGCAGAATTAATCAAAGATGGGAAGGAAGAGTAAGAGGGGAAGGAAGAAGGAAGAAAGGAAGAAGAAATGAGAGGCAAGAAGAGGGAATGACATGCATGTGTTCAAAGAACTGTTTGCAGGTGCAGTTTTCCAACTCCAGGAAGAACGTCATCGACACCAGAGCTGCCGCTGGCGGCCTGCAGGGGGCGCCCGAGAACACACAGCTGACTTACAATGGATCTGGTGAGCCACCAAGGGGACTGGGGCGCCAGATTTAGCAAATGGAAATACAGTGCTCACAGCTGGGTGTGGCGGCACAGGCCTGTGATCCAAGCCACTCAGGAGTCCGAGGCAGGAGGATGGCCAGTTTGAGGCCAGCCTGGGCCGCACAGCAAGACCCTGTCTCAAAATGAATTTTAAAAAAGGGGCTGAGGGGTGTCACTCAGTGGGAGAGAACCCCTGGATTCAATCCCCAGTACCTCAAAAAATAAAAGTGAATTTTTAAAAATGAAGAGCTTACGGGGCCGGGATTGCGGCTCAGCGGTAGAGCGCTCGCCTAGCCTGTGCGGGGCCCTGGGTTCGATCCTCAGCTCCACATTAAAAATAGACTAATAAATAAAATAAAGATATTGTGTTTAAAAAGAGAGCAGAGCTTACAATTATATTTGCATTTCAGACACACAACAAACTTTAGTCTGTCTCAACAGGGAACATACTTGTACTCAAGAGAGCGTTCACTGCTTATCTGAAATTCCTATTGATTCAGATTAAGCTGGACGTCCTGTGTTTCATCTGGTCATCCTTCAAGAGGACCGCTAGGCTTTTAAACTCATGTTGAAATGTAATTTTAATAGGATTTCAATTTAGTTGTAAGAGTACTGAGGCGTGGGGCCTTGGGAGGCCATGGGTCACGGTTAAGGCTCAAGGCCCTTGTGTCGCGATGGCTTCTGACACCAGGGTGGGTTCCGCTGGTGGGTGTCCTCTGTCTCGCCCCCTGCCCCCTGCCACGCTGTGCTGAGCCCTCCCAGGCTGCTGTGTGCCCTGGGACTTTCCGGGCTCCAGCACTGTGGGAGATACACAGCTTTGTGAATTACCAGGTCTGCGGTCTCCTGTTGTGGCCGAAGAACATGGGTCAGGACAAGGAGGGAGGTCACTGTTTCAGTATCAGCCTCAACTTCTGAGCAGTCCCTGGCCCAGAGGCCACTCCCTCGAAGGGGGAGGAAGTCTCCAAAAGGCCCGATGGTCGGGATAATAGCAGAGTATCCTAGCCTCGGTTCTCCCTCTGTGCACGAATTTCCACTCAGGTGAGAGTTTGAAAAGACAGCAAGCAAGACTCCAAGGGGAACCTGACAGTGATGTCCAATGGGCGGACAGTTGCCATTAAGGACGCTAGGACAGATCCATGCTCAGGACTCAGCAACACTGAGACCCTCCAGTCTGTCGACTCTGTTTAGGGTTTTATCCTAAGGAGATGATTGTGGGCACATAAAGACTGAGCGATGATGATGTCTAGTACAAGCATCGCCTTGTTGACAATAACAGAAAATTGGGAACGACCTCACGTCCAATGACGGGGCTGCCGAAACCAATTATGGTACATGTGCACGAGGGAGTTCCACAAGCATTAAGCATGAGGCTTGGAAGAGATGTTATCCCTGTGAGAGAATGAACCATTAAAAAAAAAAAAAAAAAACTGGTTAGGAAATGTTATGTTCTGATTTCACAAAGTACGTAGGCATTGAAAAAAGAAAAGAGTCCATGCTTTGATAGCCGGGTGCCCTAGCACACACCTGTCATCCCAGTGGCTTGGGAGGCTGAGGCAGGAGGATCCTGAGTTCAAAGTCAGCCTCAGCAAAAGTGAAGCACTCAGCAACTCAGTGAGACCCTGTCTCTAAATAAAATACAAAATAGGGCTCAGTGGTCAAGTGCCCCTGAGTTCAACCCCAGGAACCAACCCCCGCCCCAAAATGGTTTGTTAATTTTGAAGGAATGGCTATTTAATTTGCTTCTGTGTATCTTTGATTTTCAGTTTTGCAATAAGCCTATTTAATTTTTTTCTTTGTTTGCTTTTTGTTCTGGGGGGTATTTTTTTTTTTTTTTGGTGGGGGTGCTAGGGATTGAACACAGGGCCTTATATGTGCTAAGCACACGCTGTACCATTGAACTACCTTCCCAGCTCCTGATTTTTTTAAGGTCTGTGTTGGGTTTTGTGGTGGCTTTTTAAACTGCCCAGCCGCTGCGAGAAATGGAGACTCCAGTGGGCCATTTCCAGATGACAGTATTTAGCCTCAAATGTGAAATGACTGAGGATGTAAGAGCATCGGCCAGAGAGGAGATAGAACAAGTGGTTACCAGCAGTGAACACCAGCGTGTGACAGATTCACAGCCCCTGGACACACAGGAGGTGAGGGCAAGGGCCAGCCTGGCCAGCAAAGACGGAATTCCTCTGTGCTCACCTGCGCTCCGTCCCTCCACCAGACAACCCCGGGAGGGGGGTCACTAAAGGCGTGTTTCTCTAAACCATCCAATAGGTGACCGTGAAACCTAAGCGATGCACCCCGTGGTGCTCAGCCAGGGAGGGACCTGGGAGGGACCGGGAGGGACCCGGGATGAAATGCTGACGGTCCCCAGACCCGGGACCTTGCAACGCTGCTTTCTCTGTGCCCTTTGCCTTCGGTCCTTTCTCTGGGTCTGGTCCGTGTGTCTCTCAGCCACTCCTTTCCTCCCAGACTCACACGGTCAGCCGTGGGTCACCTCAGCAGAGCCCCTCTGTGCCCTGGCCTGCAGCTCATTCCAGTGGGAACCCCACTCTGCGTCCTTCAGTCTGTCCAGCTCTTCCTCCCGCCCGGGGTCACGTGGTCCAGGACCCCTTCCCCCCCAGCCTCCAAGCTGCCCCTGAACCTTCTGGAAGCTCCGGGGCTGGATCAGGTCCTCTTCCTTCCTGCTGCCACAGCCCCCTCTCGCCCTCCTGTGGCCCCAGGGATACCACCTCAGCATTTGTGTTCCCCCCAACTAGACTGTGCCCCTGAGGGGACCCCCTCCTCTCCTCGGTGACCCTAGCACATCACCTGGAGCCTGGCACATTGCAGAAGCTGCGTGACGGAGGACAGAGCCACACTGGCAGGCGGGCGCGGGGACGGACGCACCGTCCTGGATTTCATTGGAACGAGGCCTAGAGATTGCAAGTGCAGGTGGAAAATTTTGGAACTCCGTGACAGAGACTCCACGAGGGAACAGCAAGTATCAAAGGCGGTGAGTCACCCCTGGAGGAATCCAATTAAACACCCGTAATTCGAGCGGTGCTGCTCGGGCACTCTGCTGTCGATACTGCTGCTATTCTGAGCTCTCTTGCACTTGCAGGGGGGGGGCCCCACCCTACATCTTCCATTTGCCATCACCTGCCGAGACTCCCCGCCGATGCCCTCTCTCCTCTCTTCCCTCCCCTCTCCCACGTCCACCTCTCCTCCTTGCTGATACCCATAAAAACTAATTTTCAGTTGACAACTTCCTGTCCATTTGGAACCCGTCCCTGCAATATCTCACAGAATCCTCACAGCTTGCGGGGCGAGTGTTCTCATTCTCAGAATCTCAGAGAGGTAGAGTAAATTACCCCAGATCACACAGCGGGCAAGATCTGAATGAAGAGAATCTGACTCCAGAGGCGCTACAGTTTCCATTCTCACGGTCTGTCTCCATGTGCCACCAAGCTATACCTGCTGTCACCCTCTGCCCCAGGAACCCTTTCCTTTGTCCCATCCTGGCAGTTAGGAGCCTTTAAAGATGCTCTCAACTGGGGGTAGTTCCAAGGGAGGGCTTTGTTGGAGCGGGGGATGACTTTAGCTCAACCCAGAATTTCTATTAGCCTTCAAAACCACCTCCGCGTTTATAGTCTCTTGGTGAGAGAGGCAATGGATATCTCCCCAGTTTTGGGTGAAGCACGAGACTCGGTGGAGAACCGTGCTATTTTTACTGATTCGTACCACAGCAGTCTCCGTTAACACTGTGGACTGCTACTCAAAAGGAAGCTTTAAGATAAGTCCCCCCATCCCTCCTGGAGCCCACGTTGCTGAAGCCAACCCCCTCCCACATAGGGACTCTAAAGCTGTCACTCCTTTCAACCGAGAATCCAAGGAATGAAGAGGGAGAAAAATCTTAGCAACATAGGAAGACCCCCCTGCCTGTGGGCACAGCCAGCACCGTCTCAGCTGAGCCCTGCCCCTGCCAGAGCACAGAGTATCCTTCTCTGAATCCCTCACCCACAATTCCCATCAGATTGACTGCACAAGCAGCAACGGATCAGCTTTTGATGATAATTAATGTTTAAACCAACGTCATGTTTATTCAGCACTAGAGACGAGCTGGGGGGTTTTTTTGCAGAGAAGCGGGATTCCCAGGGCTTAGTGAACCACAGCGGGCAGCCAGTGTCCTCTGCCAGGTCTTCCAACAAAGAAGGGCAGCACAGGGCGAGAGTCAGCTAGGTGACAGCCGGCTGGGAGTGGCTGGGAGGTGGAGGCTTGGCGGCGTCCTCTGCCAATTTCCACGGTATAACTACTCCCTGCGATGGCAGGTTCTAAGCTACCCACAGCTTAACACCGAGTTCACAAGATTCCTGAAAACTGAACGTCGCCTGGGGAGGTCTCTCTCCAACCCACTTTGATCTTTGTTCAACATTAATTCAGAAGAGAATCGGAGCGCTTTGTGGGGACCCTGATGATCTCGGTTACCATTTATCCAGAATTCTCTGTGCGCGCTCTGGTTTAAAGATGAGAAGTGCCTTTTACAGATGATCTCCATCCTTAGGACCATCCATCGAGATAGGTGTGATCATCTCTCTTACAGATGAAGAGGCTGCGGCTCAGAGGGGTTAAGAAGCTTGTGCAGAACCACACAGCTAGTTAAATGGAGGAATGGGATGCTAACCAGAGATGTCTGACTCGGAAGCCGGCGTTAAGGTCGTGAGAAATCTCTATTTTTCCAAGCAATCTGGCCTAGGAAACTTCAGCATAGTCCACGTCCCCCCACCCCTCCACCCCCAAATCCTGCAGACGGCAGGACTCGTTTTACTTAGAAGGCTCTTTAGCGACCACCTGTGGTTCTTCCCTCGTGGTCTTTGCCGGGTTGGGGGGGGCCTGTGGGAGCTTCCCCATTCTTATTGGCCAAAGTTGGGATTTCCACTGCTCACCCTCCAAACCCTAGCTTTGGGGAAATGGTTCATGGCACCAATCGTTGTTAGAAAAGTCCCCTTTCCCCAGGCTCAGCCCATCAGAAACTCGTGGCCAACATTTTGACCACTGGACAAAGGACACAGAGATCAGAGGACAGCGGGGTTAGATGGTGGCGTCCAACAACAACGGTGGCAGTAGCCAAGTCCCCTCCCTGACACACACTCACTCTCCCCCAAATGCCCCATCAGTCAGCCCACAGCCTCACAAGGGAAGCCTGCTGGGGACAGAGGTCTCTGTTCCACGTCCCCTTCTACGGATCGGTCCCTCGATAGCGTGTCCCTTATCAGTTCTGGTCAAAAGACCCCGGTAGGAGGGGGTTAGGATGGGCTTGTGAGATGGGGCCTGGGTCAGGTGCTCAGCGGGGACGGTTCCGAGGAAGTGGGCATTTGCTCTGCGTTGGACGTTGTCGAGAAGTGGGGCTGATACCTGGGGGGGGGGGGGACAATCATTCTTCCCTCCAAACGAGACCAAGAGAGTGAGGCTGGCACTGGTGGGTAAAGAAGTCCCTGTCACTCGTGGGGGACAGGATCGGGGCACTGCTATGATGTGAATGAAGTTCGTCCCCCCAAAGCCCAGGTGCTGAAGCTCGGTCACCCGTGGTGAAAGTGCTGAATGGTGGTGGGACCCTCCCGAGCGGGGCCTAGCGGGAGCTGGCCGGCCGTGACCACCTGGTGAGGGGAGGCTGCCAGCATCCAGGGGCCGGCTGTCTCATGGGAGCACACTGTGATTTCCTGCCAGGGCAGGTTGTTAGAGAAGAGTGAGCCCAGCCCGCCCCAGGCTCCTCTTTCTCGCCACCGACCTCTGTCTCTTTGTGATGCCATGCGCCACGTTGTGACGCAGCCCAGGGCCCTCTCTCCACCACAGCTCTGTTTGGACTTTCCACTCTCCAGAATTTTGCGCCCAACACATCTCTTTTCTTATAGATTATCGAGCATCCGGTATTTCGTTTTAAGCCTCACGAAACAGACGGAGACGGGGTGCCTTGGGGGTTTCTGAGGTGTGGCCAGTGCCCTGGTCTCTATCTGCTCCCCAGCAGGCTTGAGCAATCGTCTTATTTTTGCCTTAATCTCGGTTGTTTTTTTTTTTTTTGTTTTTTGTTCCAGAATGGCCTTCTCTGATGTTGGCAATCTGCACAATGATTCGTGTCCAACAAAGGATGCCAGGGCCGAGCCCCGAGGGCCACGCCAACACCTGGCTGCCTGGGCGGGCGGCTTCTCCTTCTTGCAGGAGAAGAAATGGTTTTTCTACTTCCTGCCTCCCCATGAGTCACCAAGAAACCGTCCACTATAGAGACCGGTCTGCTGTCTTCCCTGCAGTCCCCGACGTGGTGTCCTGCACACCAAGGTGCCCTGTGGGCGCTCAGTGGACTGGATCACGGGTACAGAGAGCTCCCTGAGACCTGGCATTATTCCAATCAGGCCTCCGGATTCTGTATTTTCACATTTTAAAAATGTGACTCATAGAAAATTTATTTAACTTGTGAACGAGGGAACCAGTCAGATGGGGTAAGCTCCTTCCAAGAGCAGTTAAGGATCTGTGGGCAGATTTTTAAAGAATCTTAGGATATGATTACCAGGCTATGGGCAAAGCTGCTTAACACCCCTCAAGGAGAAAGAAAAAAAAAATCCTATTCCTTTAAGGTGGTCTTTTCCACAGGACAGAAGTTTACAAGTGGGTGTGTAATTCATCACGTTGATCTTCTGATAAAACAGTTAATGTCCAAGTTAGAAACCGGGTGCAGTGGTGCACACCTACAATCCCCGTGACTTAGGAGGCTGAGGCAGGAGGAGGATCCCAGCAAGTTCAAGGCCCGTCTTCACAACTTACCAAGACCCTGTCTCAAAAAAAAAAAAAAAAAAAAAAGGACTGGAGATGTGGCTCATTGAGAGACCACCCTAGAACCAAAAAATAAACATAGAAATAGATAACAAAGTTAGACACGTGCGCCCGCTCCCTGACAATCACATCATCCTGGGGCAGCCTCCAAGCGGAACAACATGGAGAGTTTATTTCCAGTGTTTAGTTAATGTCGATTTTTAAGGCACGGCACAGGGACAGTGTGGCTTTAAGAATGTCGCCAACTGACATTTCTTCCTGCCCCTACTCCATATCCTGCATCTTCAATAGCAGCAGCACCTGGCTCGTGTTTACTGAGCCGCTACACGGTTAGATCCTGTGATACCTATTTATAAGCCTTATCTCATCTACTACTCACACAACATCCCTGTGAGGTCATTCATCCTGAGGAAAACAGGCCCGGCATGATAAAATACATATCTGGACTTTGTCCCAGCTTCTCGGCATGCAGTTCCTAAAACCCCTGGAAGTTTCTAAATGATAGCAGCGTCTTGTTAGGGATGGAACCCCCTTTTGCCCTCACCTGAGTGGGTGCTAAGGAGGTGACTGGGTGGGGGTAGAGAGCATCAGGATGGGGACTGGTCACAGAGGAGGCTGCAGGTTGAGCTACAAACCCCTCAGCCGTGAGGGACAAGGAGCTGGGGGTGTGCCGGGGTGGCGGCTGGCCCACTGCGGGCGAGGCAGCGCTACCCAGATCCCTGTGTTTCTCTTCCATTTGGCTGTTCAGAATAAACCCCCAAAAAAGTAAAGATTTTCTTGAGTTCTGAGTCATTCTGCAAAACATTGAACCTGAAGGGGGGCATTATAGGAACCTCCAAATGGAGAGTCACCTAGGCGGAAGCAAGGGTGGCCCCGGACTTGTGAGTGGCATCTAAATTAGGGGCAGTTTTGTGGGACAGAGGCCTTCAACTCGTGGGATGTGACACTAACTCCAGGTACCTGGGGTCAGAACTGAACCGGGCCGTGGACCCCCAGCTGGCGCCTGAGAATCGAAAGCGTCCGTGTTGAAAAGGGTCGCGTGTTTGGGGTCAGAAGTGGTGTCAGAAGCTGCCGTACAGACAAGTTACGGAGAAGTGAATAACTGGCCTAAGCTCACGCAGCTGGGGAGCATCTCCCCCGGGGACATGCTTGAAGCTCAGTACTGCAGTCTCGTATCGCCATGAGGAGGATGTTAGCCGCGTCTCCTGCCCGCACTGTTATTATTGATTCCATATTTTCTTTAGGTTGATTCACTTGTTAAAAATAGCACCATAAAGGGAAAACTAGTATTTTCCCTAAAAGATGTGAAAATTAATGTTTTCCCAAAACTACCCTCAAACCATGCCAGAGCATACCTCATCTGGGGTAAACTGGGGTCTGTCCTGAGCCTCCTCCCGCCGTGGGGTGTTTCTGGACAAGTCTGTCGGGGCAGCCAAGTGCAGAAGAACTAGAAAGTCCTCAACTTGGCTCAAACTGGGGCCGAGGGGGAAAAACCAGAGTGACGGCAGACAGCAGATGGCCGCAGGACTGGCTCCTCGGAGCAGGTGACCGTGCGCTGGGCAAGCTGCCCTGAGTTTAGCCAGCAGGGCCCGGGCTGAGCTGCAGCAGACCTACTTGGATCGTTCTAGGATCAGATGGCGTTTGCCTGGGGAAAAGCTCAAGGTCAACTCCAAGGAGCAACCTCAGGAGAGCGTGAGAACTTGAAGACGTGGGATAGCGGTGCATGACCACCATCTTCAAGGGGAGGGGAGGGGAGGGCGCAGAGCTCCAAGACCAGAGCCTGGTAAATGGCCTGGCAAGGCTCACCCAACTCCACCTGGGAAACCTCACATCAAGTCAACATGTCAGCTTACTCTAAGCCATGGTACTGAGGCTGGCCTCGAACTTGTGATCCTCCTGCCTCAGCCTCCCAAATTGCTGGGATTATAAGCAGACACTTCTATTTGGGCATGTTCTAGGGTGTGGCTTTCAAAGTGAAATTTAGACCTCGTTATGTAAGTGGGCAGTTATTGTCTTAGAGAGAACGACAGCTCCAAGCTTCTTCTGTAGGTTGCAGAAAGACTTCCTAAGAATTCTCGTGGCTCATACCCAGGAAGTTACTCATGGGAAGTTGGGCTTTACACTAAGTTCTATCATGCATTACTTCATTTCATCTCCTCTCCGACGCTACAAAATGAGAACTGTTCTACAGATGAGGAATCTGAGGTTTGAGGTCCATACCGTTAATCAACGGTGAAGCTGGAATTAGATTTCGGCACCATCTGGCTCGGAATCCACCTTTATCCTCATTACATTCTAATCCTAAAACCCTGCCACGGTTTGCTGAAGAGACTCAGAAATCCCATTTTGCTCATTTGATTTCTTTACAAATATATATAAAAAAAAAAAAAACAAGAAAAAGGAGCCCATGTGTTGATTCTTGGAGGTCACAACCAGACGGAACAAGTAGAAAAACAATCACTGCTGAACGGTGACAAACTCTGCTTCGAGTTAGACGCCATCGGGAACCTGTAATTGGCATTTGCCTGATAAATATAGCCCTCGGTTCAGTCAAAGGTGGGATTTGGTAACCGATGTGACAGGGACGGTGACAGGTGGCATCAGAATTCTCGAACACACACTTCACTCTGGTTCCCATCACGATCCTAACCTCCTGGAGAGAGAGGTCCCCACGGCCACACCGAGAAGTCCCGCTAACAGAGAGGACATTGGATGCCTTCTGTCTGACGCCAGTTTTCATCCAGAGACATCGTGGAAGGAAACGGGAGGATGGGCCACCTGCGAGCAGCTGACGGACACCGGGGTTCGACTTCGTCCCTGGGGGAGGTGAGGGGAAGACCCTCTAGCGCCTTTTAAAGCTGCCGGTGCCTGGACGGCATCTTGGACCCGTCGATGAGGCTCTGGGAGGGAGGCCCAGGCCTGGCATCTCCCAAGATCCGGGAGGTGCCCGTGCTAAGAAGCAGAGATGCCGAGGATGGGCCTTCCTGGTGCCAAAGGGACAGCTCCAGCGTCCCGGCCCCCGGCTACTGCTGTGAGGTTCTCGGGGGGTAAGAGCAGGGCCCGCTCAGGGAGGCAGAACCGCCGAGAGCTGTGGGGTGAGGGACGCACCTTGGGAGTCAGACCTTCCACGGCTGTGGGGGGAGCTGGGCAGGGGGTGGAGGAGCACAGGGGTCACCAACCAGCCGGCCTGAGGCTCAGACACGACCCCCTGGCAAGATGGCTTCAGAGGGGCCGCAGTGGAGGGCGGGGGGCTATGGCTTTGTCTGCCCAACATCCAGAGGAGGCGGGGCTGCTGCTGGTCAGCGGGGCCGTGGGTCGTGAAGTCAAGATGGGGGGAAGGAGATAGGGTGAGGTCCAGCCAGAAGCTCTGGGGCCGCCTGTCCCATCACCTCCTCCTCTCGTCACGGCGCCCTTCAAGGGGTAAATGCTGACGCTTCCCTTTCATCTTGGTTTGTTTTGCGCTAAGCCCCACAAAAGATTGGGGGATCTACAATCAGCAGAAATACTCCGGCTCCCAGCGCCGGAGGCCGGGAGTTCTGGAACAGCAAGGTCCTGGTGGTTGGCGAGGGTCCTCTGGCTGCATCACCACATGGTGGAAGGACACAGAGAGGGTCAAGGACAGTGAGGGGCAGACCCGTCTTGCTCATGGTGACAGCATGACTCCACTGGCCACGACCTGATCCCCTCTTGGAGTCCCCCCTCCTACACCGTAACAGGGGTACAAGAGGCCAACATGGGTTTGGGGAGGACATTCAAACCAAGGCACCTTCTGCCTCCCGAATCTCCTGCGCGGTTCTCTTTTGAACAGTTTTACCTGGAACCACCCAGGGGAAGAGACTGGGGAACAGACTTCTCAGTGCAGGTAAGTCAGCAATGGAATATTCCAGCAGTCACCCTAAGCACCGGCCATGGCATCTCGACGTCCCCTACCCCATCCCGTCACCGTCTGGAGTGTCCCTCCGTCACCTGGGAATCGTCTGCTTTCTTCCCTTCCTCTACACTTCTCGAGGGCAGAGCCCCTGCTGTCCCTGTTCCAGTCCCGGCACCTGACACACTGTGATTAAATAATGCAGAAGGCCCCTGACTTGGGAGTTGAGGTTCCCCAGCTTCACCGTGGTGTGAGAGCCACATGCTGCGGTAGAAACTGGACTTGGAGTTTTGAATGAAGATCTCTCCCTGGGCCCGGGATCTCTGGCCCGATCCTCTCTCTCGAGGTCCCTGGCAGCTGCACACGGTTGAATACCCCCAGATACGGGAACGCCTTGTCTCCCAAGAGCCCACCTTTTTACAGCTCTGCGTACCTGGCAAGGCCTCTCGTACTGAGAGTGCAAGCCAGTGAACTCACCGTGGACTCTGATCCTGGTTCCTGTTCCACACAAAAGAAACTCCCTATCTTCCTGCAGTTCCTAAGTTTTGGGGTTTGTTTGATCTGTTCTTGGTACAGGGACTGAACCCAGCGTACCTCCCACAGAGCTCCATCCCCAGCCCTTTTCTATTTTTTTATTTGGAGGCACCGTCTTACTCAGTTGCCCAGGCTGACCTCCAATTGCCATCCTCCTGCCTCAGCCTTCCGGGTCTCTGGGTGTTATGGTTTGGATATGTGGTGTCCCCCAAAAGCTCGTGTGTGAGACGATACAAGAACGTTCAGGGGTGAAATGATGGAGTTATGAGAGCCTCCACCTAATCAGTGCAGAAATCCACTTACACGGATTAGATGTCCATGCAAGATGCCACAGCCCTGCAAAAGACAGAGCTGGAATGCAAACCCTGATTTAGTCTGGAGCCAGGGCGGGTGTCTCAGAGAAGAGATGGCTTCCTGATCAGAAAGGAGCCCCCCCCTCAAAGACCAGGCCATGTAGGAATGAAAACATAGGCACCTCCTCACTTTGGGCAGAACCCAACCAGGAGAGGCTTGATCCAGTTGAACCTGAACCCCTGAGGAGTGAAGGGAACTGAGGTATCCTGGGATTCCGGGAGAAAACCAGGCCCGGGTAACTGATGGCTCAATGAAGA